CAAAACAACATGCCTCTGTCCATGTGTACTGTTGTAAGGTTGAACAGTAGGTGAATGTGTTTAAAGCTGCTGGGTTTGTTCTTCATACCGATGTCAAACCCGCCATAATTCCTAGACTCCGTCACTTATCAATGTCCGCTTGAATGTGATTGTCATAAGCCGTGTTCAGTAATAGTCCAGAGGGGCTGATGATGAGATGAAGAGCAGATTGGGCCTCAGTGGGTGATGGAGACAGGCCAGTGGAGGTTGGCATGACTTAGGAACAAGACATGCAGTGCCAACCTGCCACTAGCTGCAATTCCTCAACCCAGCGCAGACTGCAGTAAGATACATTCTTGGAAGTGTCTAGCGTAGTAACTTTACCTTGATTACAATCTTTTCACATTAAAAACAATAATAAGCCACTGTTTCTGTAATCAGAACACCCTGACTAATGCAAAAATAAATCTACAATCTCACAAATACAACAATTACCTTCTTTAGACTCACTTTAACACAAGTATCACTTTAAAAAAGGTTTGTTTACAATCGTTAAAGGTTGATTTTTCTTTTGTGACATTATATCCAGTCATATCCTTGTTAATGCAAACCTAGTTCTGGATATACTTTACCCTTGGGCCCAGAGTTTCAGAACCCTACTTGAAAACATTAAACTGAAACATTATTTACAATTTTAGCCATAAAAATTTAAATAAAATATCAAAATGAAATCTGATGAGATAAGAATCACTGATACACGCCAATTCAGAATTTCTTCCACCCTTGTCCTTTATTTAGTTTCATTACATCTATCCTTCTGTTCTCCTGTTTCTTCCCCTCACCTCTGTGGCTGCACATGCTCATTCACTCACTATTACCTGCTGTAGTTAGCATTTAAGTGCCAAATCTTCTATGTTGTGTGTCTAGTATCTATCAGGATAAGATTTCAGTCCCTGATTCTTACTTTCTGGTTAAAGTCAATTGTCCAAATCCAGCAAATAAAAAAACAGTGACAGGAAGTTGTATTTACGGTACATGTAGGTGACCACATGCAAAGCTTGAGGCAGAAGCAAATGATCCCACGCAAAGGTGCACACAGACCATTTTTTTTAAAAGAACTGATACAGACGACCTCCCTAACCAACACAGGTCACTGACGCGCTAACAAACACAACACACACATGAATGCACAGGTCCAGATGGAGGCTGACAGCATGCTACAGGCAAATGGCTCTAAATGAGGAAAACATGAGGCCTTCGCTGTGTGGCGACTTTCACATGCTCACAGGATCTCACAGAGCTCCAGGGTAAAGGGCGGAGGTGGGTGTGGGAGATGAGCAGCAGAATAAAAGGCCGGATTAATGTTCGGATTAACAGCCGTCTGATTCTCTACCAAACCCATATACTGCAGATCAGGTTTATCTTGTGTGTAACTCAGATATAAAAGTGTCTGCTAACACAAGCACAACACAATTGTTACAATATGAATTTACTGTATCTTCCAATATATAAAAGCACTGATTACTTGGCAGCACAATTACATAGTACTGTTCTAATTTTCTTTTTTTGCTCTGTGAGAGTAAAGGTCAGGGCTAGAAGCTGTAGCGAGCTGATGAAGGAGCTGGTGTGGTTGTCCAGTTACAGCAAGGCTCTGAAACCTGCTTCGATACGTGTTCACAAATTCATAGTCATATATAATACTTTCATTTTAAGATAATTTATTCTGATCTTTTGACTGGGCTTTAGTAATCCTAAAAATGCTACAAACTTAGAATTACAGGATTAATCTAACCAAAGTATCTCATAACAAAGTCTACATTTCCTTAACAACTGTTTGCTATTGAGTTGGGGGAGTGATACTCAAGACGAGAGTTGCTGTAAGCAGTAGTTTTTTCTGATTTTGTTTGTTCAAAGTGTTATTATAACATGATTTGATGGATTCATTATTTTGGACACTATCCTAAATTAAAGTAGAAGGTGTGACCAAAATGTAAGATGCCACAGTAAACGTAAGGTAAATGTTTTTATCTGTTTTGATGGTTGTGATCCTTGATGATTGATTGTGTTATTACCCATTTTTGAATGTGCTTAAATTTCAAAAAACAAAACAGGTTGTTAGAAATGGTGAAGAACAAAATCTTGGAATTTTGATAATCAACTTCCTGGGTTCAACTGTGAGTGGAGGATGAAGACAAACATTCAGAATGATCATGAGCAGCTTACTTTGTGCCTCAGAGGCAGCAGCAGCAGCAGCTCTGCACTTTCAGGCAGAAAATTCACTAAACACCTGCTGCACCCAGAGACTATGATGTAATCTCTTTCAGTTTTGATCTAACATCGCAGCCAAGGACTGAGCCAAGATGTATTATATAAGATTTGCCCGCCCTCCTCTCTCTCTCACACACAGTAGGGAGGACAAGTGTGTGTACGTGTGTGAACAAGCCAACATTTAACTCGAAGAAGTTGACAGATCCACATCAATTGACAAGCACTCAGAGCCACTCAGATACACTCAAACCACTTCAGGGACAAACAAGGTTGCAAAACTAAAATGCAAAGCTCGCTCTTTCTGAACAAAGTGTCTCATAACGACACCGCGCTCTGATGTAACTCAAATAGTGTATCTTATTCTCAGTGTTGTTCCTGAAAGTGTTGAGATCAGGGCTGTGATGCATAGAGCATTATATTTTTGTCACTTTCTGAACACTAACTATCTCACAAAATGCAGTTTGTGATTCACTTTATTCTTTACCTTCACACGAGATGGAAAGTTTGTCCAATTTTTCATTATGACTTTTTGAAAAGCCAATATTCCCATTTGGACCATTTTTCATTATGACCTTTTGAAAAGCCAATATTCCCATTTGGACACGACATTTACAGTTAGCTATATGGACTGAATATAAAAGATGGACGTCCTCACTGAGTCTTCTCTTTAGAGCCAACCATGTAGGCACTAATGGGTGTAGTCCCACTGATAGCAAGAGAAGAAGACTTCAATAAAATTCTTTCTCTTACGATGTTCATCCCAGATTCCATAACAAGGCAAGGTAATCACTCTTGCTCCATGTCATGCTGCAACAGTGCAATCAAGAAGATGGACTGTTTACAATAATTCATGTAATCACAGGTAATCAGCAGAGCTCTGAGAAAATACCGACCTGCAATTAGGGATTTAACAATGCAATGCATAACGCCACCTACTGTACTAGAGTGTGTAGTCTCATGGTATGACTCCTGGCTTATTGAGATAACGCAGCCTGCTCCTTATGCCATAATGCGTGATTCATTTTTTCATTTTAAACAATACAAATTGTCCCACGTTTGTATTGTTTGTCTAACACTGCTGGTATAACATTGGTGTGTGTGTGTGCAGGAGCAAGAGTCAGGAGAGGATGATGTCATGTGCTTTTGTTTGAGAGCATCCCTGTTGAAAGACCCTGCACTCCTCTGGACTGCCAGTGAACACACACGGTGAGTGTGACGGGTTTTTTTGTCTTGACTTTAATATGGTGTGTAATTCTATATACAGTATAAATATATTATTTTAGATGTAATACAAACTCAATTATTTTGGCTACAAAACTAGCAAAATAAAAAGTCAAACTTAAAGTGACTGTATAGTACTGCAAAATTATGAATTTGACACTTTCTGCCATTGAACTCACCAGTGGTTGACAATATTATGCGACATTGACGAAATTGAACCCACACAACACAAAATCTCCAGAACAAAATGCAGCAACTGCATTTGCCCTAAATCAAGAGTTTTAAAGGGGGAGGTGTTGAAATGAAGGATTAAAATGAGGCTCAC